TCTCGAATGTAGTTTTTGTAATGTTGCGTTTTGTATTTCAATGTGGTAATATATAGTTTTTTTAATTTCTCTTTTAATGGATGACTTTGTACCGCGCTTCGAGCCTTTGGGAATGAAGCGTAATTTTCAAAGAATCGTTAATTCAATTGGGTAACTCCGGCATACTGTTTACACCCTCTACCAGGAATCTTGGTTATATTATTTCTAACAACATGTCTCTCGATAAACATATGTCTTACAATTGTCGCTGCTGGCATACACCGCTATCCGTCAGATCAGCTCCATCCGCCAATACCTCACAGTTAGCACTACAAAAACTCTATTTGTGCTCTTGTTCTCTCTCGTCTTGACTATTGCAACTCTCTTCTGTAAGATTCACCAAAACACTGCATAGAAAAACTGCAGAAAGTCCAAAACTCAGCTGCTAGGCTTGTTCTAAAGGCAAAAAAAAACGTGAGCACGTCACTCCACTACTCCATTCCCTTCATTGGCTCCCTATACAGGCACGCATCGACTACACGTTGTCTGTTCTCTATCACAACTTTTTCTCGGCTCCCTGCCCTTCCTATCTAACCGAACTTCTTTCTGTCTATTCACCCCTTCGACAGCTTCGCTCCTCCGCAGACACGCGTATTCTGTCCATTCCCAAGACACACACTAAAACATATGGTAAGCGATCTTTGCCACTACACATCCGCAATATACCAACCACCCAGGCATTCAAAACTGCACTCAAAACACATCTCTTTAAACTCTACTACCCTGACTGATTCCCCTCCTCTGACCGATAAACGATCTTGTTGGCTGCCGTCCATGGTTTGCCTTGTAAAAGTCCTGGGGTTCATGGTGTTCTTTATTTCAATATTGTATATGATTTTAATGTCATTATTATGTCTCATTTGATAATATTTTTATGTACAGCGCGGTGAGCCCAGCCCTAGGTTGGGGTACCGCGCTATAAAAGACCACTAATTATTATTATTATCATTACAATGAGGTCCATGGCTCGGTGGCGAGTCTTGGACATGAGGAAAAAAAGTCTGGGAAAACCGGAATAAAAATGGTACCTTTGGTCAAATTCATGTAGGCATTCGGTGTAGTTTCTATCTAACATGTGTTCGAAATGCCTCATGAACAAAAATGCGTAGCTGAGTCCCATTTTAGTGCCCATGGCAACATCGCTGATTTGGTCGAAGAATTCACAGTTAAAACTGAAACGAATTGAGGGTGAGAACAAGTTCAGCCAATCGGAGGAGGGTGTTGGTAGGCATAGATGAATGGGGTTGATTGCTTGGACATTACGGTCATGTTTTTACTGTTGTTTGTTCGCTGAAGAAGGATTCTTGTCGACAAGTTCATTGTTTTGTCGCGCCCCCGCCCCTCCCCCCATTTTTCCCCATACTTTGTTTCGTTCATTTCCTTTAGCCTAACCTGAATGCAGTTTCTCTCCCCATTATTACAATTCTTGGAAGTTTCAGTTGCATGCGAAATGCGCCCCCCCCCCAACCCGGGTCAGCTGCTTCCTCAACTCAATAAGAGAACAGCCAATGCTGTAGCGGTAACTCTAACCCAGTCACCCCCATTTTTCCCCCTACTTTGTTTCGTTCATTTCCTTTAGCCTAACCCGAATGCAGTTTCTCTCCCCATTATTACAATTCTTGGAAGTTTCAGTTGCATGCGAAATGCGCCCCCCCCCCCCAACCCGGGTCAGCTGCTTCCTCAACTCAATAAGAGAACAGCCAATGCTGTAGCGGTAACTCTAACCCAGTCAAGATTAGATTACTGTAACAGTTGTTTGAGCAGTTGTCAGAGACTCCAGAAGGTACAAAATACTGCAGCACGAATTGTATCGCGGATAAAGAAATCTGTCCACATTACCCCAGTTATACGAGATCTTCATTGAGTTCCTGTGAGTGAACGCATTAACTACACAATTATGTCCCTGACGTACAGCTGCATAGAAGGCTATGCATCGGAATATCTCAAAGAACTGATTAATAAACATGTCTTCAACACAGTCCTTACTGAAAATTCCTAGTGTGGATGAACACAGAGAAAAGCCTTACGGAGTGCGCCTTTTTGAAGCGATCGCGCCAAAATTATGGAACAGTTTGCCTCAATCTTTGAGGGAAATTGAAAATGATAAAAAATCATTTAAGAAACATTTTAAACATTTTTTGTGTAAATAGATTCAAGAAAATCAGAGCGCAGTGAGCATGCTAAAGTAGTATGGATACCAACGCTATATAAATATCCAATCAATCAATAATACAGGGCGCACTTATAATATTCATACTCATACTTCTAGATTCTAGAATGTGGTGGTCCTTACACTTATGAAAATTTTGCCTTTTTCTAAAAAAAAAAAGTGACCTTATCATACAGCTTGTGTCTATACAAGTTTGGATTTATTGAAAAATAGATTTTAGATAGAAATAGTTTTCCCCTATAGTAAATTTAATAATTTATTTAGCAAATATTTGATTTGATTAAATTCAATCTGTTCCTCCTAACCAGCGTTTCTTTCAGCTATATCCCCCCCCCACCCGGGAAAAGCCAAGTGCCCCCCCCCCCGAGAAAAAAATATGTCAAAAACAATAAATCAACTGGAACTGCTGGCACTGCCCACTCCCCTCAAAAAAATATCTTAAAGAAACACTGCTCCTAACTCTAACCGCAACATTAAATTATAAGCCTAATCATATCAATAGCAGACATCCTTAACGGTAAATTTACGATGTTAGGTAAAAAAAGTTAACGATAATATTTTTAATAGTTTTTTTAATCCCAACCTCTCACTTCTGGTACCCCGGTACGAATAGTCGCAAGCCATAAAAGCCTAAGACTTTATCGTGAAAATATACATTTTTATTTTTTTTTTAAAGAGGTGTGTCAGCCATCAACCAATCATATTGAATATAACTCGCTTCTTGTGAAACTTTGGCATACTTCCACATCGCTAACGTAGCAGGTCTTTTAAAGAAACGATTCTGTTATTTAACGGTGCAGTTTCCCAGCTCAACCCAGTTTCCGTGAAACTTCAAGCCGCCTAAACATATCTTGTTCCAGTATTTTACGTCTACTCGTATAATATAGGCGTCTTAAATTATTATAACCTGCATTTGAAATATAGTTTTTAGTAGGTGTGGGCCCATTTATACAATTTTTTTAAAAAATGTATTCAATATTAAAGGTCTACTTAAATAATTTAATACAAGGCCTACATATTATTAAATAATTTAATGCTAAGCTACATGTTGAATTATGTTATTACTGTTTTCTCAAATTCATTCATACATACTTACATATCGTTGAGTACGTCACGCTATTTTTGAAATTTTTTACACCCCACCCCCCACGGCCACACCCTTCCCCCTGTCACAATCTGTTACAAAACTCCCCCCCCCCCCACCCCTCAAAGTACGTCACATTTTCGAACTAAAAAACTTTTGAGACTTTAAATAATAATTAAAATTAAAAAAAAACACACGTCACTCTTTATAGAAAAGGTATAAAAGTGAATCATGTGAATCTCCTGTCAGAATACATCCACCACAACAGAAAGTTCAACATCACTGTCAATCTCAGGTGTTTATATGTATAATAAAAAATAATACAATGTATGACGTCCCACAAGATCTTACCCCCACCCCCTGTTGCAAACTGTCACACTTTATTATACCCTCCCCATTTTTCCCCGGAGCGTGACGTACAAATTGGATGTCCCCAAGCCCAAAGGTTGTCAAAGAAAATAAATAAACAGCATTTTGCTGTTTTCCCACTTCCGGAGAGACGAATGAATACTGCTTGAGTTTTCTACTGTGTTCTTTTCTCTGTTATATTTTCATTTCTATTGTTGGCTGAGGAAGGCTTTATGCCGAAACGTCCGTGTTTTTTGTCCTGTTACCTTATTTCAAGCTTCCACATACCTCGTTTCACTAGTTAATACTAGTCAGTGGGGTAGCCTATATTTAAGGGGTCTACAAACTTTTCAGCCCGAGGGCCGCATTAACTATCAAACAGCAGTTCGGGGGCGACTACACACTCTTGAGGTTCAAATAAAAACGAATCGAAACATGGATGTTGTTTTAAATCATTTATTTAATATTATTTTATTCAGTTATTATCTAATAACACATTGATACATTAACCCATGAACACCTGTATTTGTGGGAAGGGTGAAATTGTTTCCTGGATGCCAAAGTAGCAGACATTTCTGGCTTTAGATTTGATGTTCCTAACATCAACAGTGACCCGAGATTATCAACGAACACGTTTTTTCTCAGATTGTTCTTCACGTAATTCATTCTTGAAAATGTTTGTTCACACAGGTATGTTGTTCCAAAGATTTAAAGGTACTGCCTAAGGTACCTTGGTGCAAAAGTTTTGACATTGGGAAAGTCTTCCTTAGGCAAAAAATTGTAAAAATCCACCAGTCCTTCTGTAAACTTGTCCCCAAGGAGGTCATTTGCTTGCAACTCAATGACCTCCAGCTGCAGTTCAAGAAAGGTATCCACGGGCGGAGAGTGCCTCGCGGGCCGCATCTAGCCCGCGGCCCGTATTTTGGAGACCCCTGCTATATATGAAACGCCGCCCGTGGTTGGACATGTTTTTTGCCTCACGCCTTCCACGTAAAAACTCGGCAGTTGGTGACAATGCACCCATACCCTTCTTTCATAAAAAGAAAATAATGCCCCCTCCGAACCCCACTTTCTACAGCAACGCCACTGTCATTAGTAGGTCATTAGTTATTTAATTATTTTAATATCTAAGTCTATAAACTATAAACAGTTTCAAATAATGGAAATATCTTAATATTATCATGTATTGTGTGCAATAACATTATTATAGTTTATAATTATAAGAATTAATGAATGTTTTCTCCTCTTTTAATAAATTTTACTTGTTCCTAACCTTCGTCTATTTATTATGTATTTCGTTAGAACCTCTGCGGTTAGACATCGTAACCCATTTTCAACCACAACAAGCTCATTGCGATCCATGGTCCTATTTGTACGGTCTCTATAGGCTAAGCACTGCTAACTTCGCATGCAGGTTACAGATCTGGAAGAAAAATAAGAAGAATCTCTTCACTTAAACGTAACAACAGTGAGCATAATTATTTATTTTTTTTGGTGTAAAAATATAGGCTATAATAGCTTATTATTATTAAATTATTATATTTATAGCAGGCACTATCATCTATGATAGTATTCTATGCCTTCTACGCCTATACTTATACATATACGTTTATACGTAGTCTATACTGCTTAAATATTTTAACTTTAACTTAAACTTAAAATAATTAATAATAATAGTAATAATAGTAATTGTATAATACTATATATATATATATTAAATATAAATAGAGTATGGATGGAGTATAGAGACACTCTCTTTATATTTATATTAAAAAATAATATTCAATATTGTCACAATCGAAGTGATTTGATGCACTTTTAAGTCCCTCAAACTTTTTAAACAGGTGGGGGCCAGTTCACTGTCCCTCCTCACACACTGTTGGGGGAGGACTACTATAGTTTGAAAAATGTATGAGCCAATTCATATGCACATATCTTATTTCTAGAGCCAGAACAAAAAAACAAAAACAGAACCTCGGCCTGGGGTTAGGGCTGCAGATGTTTTGTTTTCTTGTGTAGGCCTATATACCTAGTATATGCAACTCGCTGTGGATTGCTGACTGCTGTACCGTTATCAGCATTTTAGAGGATACCCTTTCACAACTTTACTGCCTAAGTGCCTTATTTAAAGGCCCTAAAGGTGGGCACAGAGGCCATAGTTTGAAGACACCCTGGACTGAATTAACTGAATAGTTAACTATTAGGGCACTTCATCAGCACCATTGGCGTTAAAGCCCCCCCCCCCCCCCCCCCCCCCCCCCCACCCACCCCACCCCCCCCAACATGTAGACATTCAACCTCCTGATATTTTATCAGTAACACATGCCCCTCTGCCAGTTCTTCTTCTTCTATATCTTAAGGGCCCACGATCAATTTATTGATCATTTTGGCTCCTATGCATGTTTTTCATATTGCTTTCTCTGATCATTTCTGATTGTAATTAGTTTGGTATTGTGTAGACCTATTTTTGTGTGAATTTGCTAGCAATACTTAAAAAACTAAAAGAACTGATTGTGAACTTAGAGGACTCCCATTAGGCCCATACGTTCTCCGATACCAATGTGGAAGGTTGCAGTTTAAGGGTTCAACTATTTTAGGCGAGTCATATCAAAAGTAAACTGGTAATAAAACTAAAAACCTGTTTTGTGTCCTTGATTTTCAGATTTATACAGAATAATAAATATGATGGGAGTCTTGAATTATATTCAAATTTATTAGCCCTGGTTTTAAGAATCTGGATTATGACCGAGACTTGCAAGTTTTTGTAAGAATCATTATTAATAACTTTTTCTTGCTTCTAAATTCTCAAATGTTACTCTGCTAGAGGGAGTCCATTAGCACCCCTTATGATAGTAGGCCCCTATGCTCAGATTTAGGACTACTTATACTTGCATGGCTTTGATAACTTAAGTTAAACACCTATTCATAAACAGAATATAGTTCTATTGATAATATGTTACTGAGGTGAACAGAGCCACATTTAAGATTATGTGATATGTAACAATATTTTAGCTACCAAGATCAGAGTAGAAGAAGTCAACTAATGTATCCTAGTCAAACTTGAATCCTTAGAGTTTACTGAATTGAAGTAAAATCAGATCCTGTTTATATATGTTTTTTTTAATTACTGGGATCCTTAAGTTCTTTCTTTGATCTAAACATAGCATTATGATGTTGATAACTAAGCTTGATGTCCTTCATACGCCCTTCGTGATCCTTGTACTTTTAAAGTAATTGGTTTTTGGATTTAACACTGGGCAGAGCTTGTGCAGTATTCACTGTTTGCCAAAAGTACAAGGCTTGCAAGCTTTTTACTGGCCTGAACAGAGTTTACCAATTGTCTTTGAGAGGTTACAAAAGACAGGACATTTTAACCTTTAGAACTGACATGCAGTTTCCAAAACTGTTTGAGAGTAAATGAATTTGAGGGAAACATATTTGCAATAGTCTAGTTTTAGAAAAGAAGAATAAAATCTATGAAATATTATCTGCTTACATATGGGGCTGTTATGATCTTCTTACATCTGGGACCATGAAAAGCAAAAGCTGCACTTCTGGCAAAGCATAAATTTAGGCACCCTCTCCCCCAAAAAAGTATATAATAATAATACAAATATTGTACATGAAAATAGCGATTTTGCTCTCCTGGTCCTTTTTGTTTCTCACCCTGCCCTCATTAAATATATGAATATAATAAATCAATAAAGTAGAAACTCTTTCATAATAATATTCAATAATGGCATGGAAATTCTATCCACACATAATGGGAAATTTAATTCCAGTTTAGTCAATGCGACTTATTTAATTGATTAATTATACTTTTTAATAGATTTTTCTCCCTGTAAATTACTGATGAACCATTTATGTCAGGGTTTCTTAACCAAGGTTGCCTGCACCCTGGGGGGGGGGGGGGGCCATTTGGACAAGTCAGGGATCCAATGTTATTTCACTAGATTTTTTTTCATGGGGGGTATGGGAAACATGTTTTTAAATCGAGATGGGTGCCGTGATGCAAAAAGGTTAAAAAAATTAAATTGATTAAAATTTAAAGTATGCAATTGATTTGATGAGTTCACAGTTTATTTGTTTGGTTTTCGTTGTTGCTTGAATCTAATACTGAGATATTTCAATGCATAATTCTGCTGTTGCCATAACAATCATAAGGGTTTTATAAATCAACAGCCATGAAAAGAGATGAAACTTTCAAAAGGGCTAAAATGTATTCCATAATGCTCCAACATTAGGGTAAAATGAAAGGCAGAGATTAACTTAGGACATAATGCTCCAACACTAGGGTAAAATGAAAGGCAGAGATTAACTTAGGACATAATGCTCCAACACTAGGGTAAAATGAAAGGCAGAGATTAACTTTGGACATAATTCTTAAACACTAGGGTAAAATGAAAGGCAGAGATTAACTTTGGACATAATTCTTAAACACTAGGGTAAAATGAAAGGCAGAGATTAACTTTGGACATAATGCTCCAACACAAGGGTAAAATGAAAGGCAAAGATTAACTTAGGTCATAATGCTCCAACACTAGGGTAAATTAAAAGCAGAGATTAACTTAGGACATAATGCTCCAACACTAGGGTAAATTAAAAGCAGAGATTAACTTAGGACATAATGCTCCAACACTAGGGTAAAATGAAAGGCAAAGATTAACTTAGGACATAGTTATGGTCATAGCTTTGTGCATTTTTTGTCCCTATCTCTGTACAGCTTGACAAATTAAAATAGAGAGGAAAAAAACCAGCTTGAATCATTATGAACCTAACCAACTATTCATTTGATAGCGGATGCATTATTATTCAAATGGTTTCTGATCTCAGTCTCTTGTATCATCCACAACTACTACACAGTTCAAAGTTTTGCTCATAATCCTGTCTCTAGACTATAAAATAAACATTTAATGATGTCAGATAAAAAATTAAAAACTGACATTATTAAATATATATATATTTTTTTAACTGCCAATAGTTGATCGCAGAACTTGATCTGTGAAGATCCATTTAATCATCTGGGAAGAGCTCTTTGATCACTTGTGAAGAGCTCTTTGATCATCTATCCCAGGGGTCTCTAAACTACTGCCCGCAGGCAGCCCACGAGGCCCTTTCATCCAGCCAGTGGAGAACTTTTTGTCTACAGAAAAAAATTACACAAATTTACGTGTATCGATGTGATCCGTAGTGCGTTATGTTTTCCAACCGATCACTATATTGCAAAACTTTATTCGCTGCTTAGTTTTTCTATTCCCGTTCACAGTCAAAGGTATGATATCACGCCATCTAGTGGCAGAGTTTTTAAATGGTTTGCTGCTTGTTCAAGACTTGATTCTTTTGATCACAGTTGCCCGTTGCGGTTGACTGCTGCAATGAGGAGGTGTTGGTGTCAGTCTCAATTAGCATCTGATTGTGAAGCATGTTGCACTCTATTTTATTTAGTGATAATTTCCTTCGCGTAATTACCTATAAGTGTGTTAAAAGTATTGGGAATGTTGTTAGTTTAGTAAGAATTTTTTAAATATTCTGAAGAGGAAACATTAAAAGCAACAGCCTCTCTACCGTAAGTGGATAGATTTGACCACTATATTCAGGTAAGTTTAACTTAAGAAATCATAAGAATTTTAAAAAATTGTTTTGGGTCATTTGCAGATAAAATTGTGATGAAATTAGGTAGCATAATCAGGTTTTTTGAGCAATATTGTGTGCAAGATATTTTCAGTTTCACTATTTATTCATGTTGAATTCCTTTTATTTTAGTGCCCAGTGATGGCCGAGAAGAGGAAAAAAACCATAGATGTTGAGTGTCGACAATTTTAAGAATAATGGAGTTTGACAAACTTCTTCATCAAATCAGGCGAGAATGGATTGTGTGTGATTTGCAGCGACACCGTGGGTGTGATGAAAGAATATAACCTGCGCCGTCATCATCAAAGCAAACATCGGGAGAAATATGCACAGTTGGAGGGTAAATTTCGTGCCGAAAAATTTTCTAAATTACAGAATCAACTCACATCTCAGAGGACATTGTTTGGTAAATCCTTAAATGAAAATCTATCCTTAACTAAGGCCAGTAATAAAATTGCCTAGGTCCTGGCTAAAAGCGGCAAACCGTTTACAGATGGTGAAGTAGTGAAGGAATGTTTGTTGGTGGTGGCTGAGGAACTTTGCTCAGAAAAGTAAAAACAATTTAAAAGTAGCTTTTGATGCAAATACCATTGCCTGCAGACATGATGCAGACGTGGGTGAAAACTTTGTGACTCAACTAGCGAAAAATACAAGCAAGTTTTGCTATTTTTCAATTGCAATGGATGAATCGCTGGACAGCTGTACCACCTCTCAACTGCTTGTCTTCATCAGAGGTGTGGATGAAGACATGAACATAACAAAAGAGCTGGTATCCCTACATAGCATGTATGACACTGTTACCGGAGAGGATATATTCAATTAGTTGAAAAAAACATTTGCTGATTATGATTTGGACTGAACTAACCTGACTGTTGATGGAGGAAAAAACGTGAGTGGCATAATGAAATGCTTGGATGGACAAGTGAAGCAGATGTGTAATGAGAAAAACATTCTACAACCAATGTTCCTGCACTGTGTTATTGAGCTAAATATATGGACATTAGCAGTGTACTGAATACTGTGGTGAAGATGGTGCATTTAAAGGTCACATGGGCTCAACCATAGAAAGTTCAGAGACCCGTTGAAAGATAAAGACACAGAATTGCAAGATTTACCATATTACACAGCAGTAAGATGTCTAAGTTGTGAGAAAGTTCTGAGCAGAGTATTGAAGTTTAGAATGGAAATAGGTGACTTCCTGGAAAATAAAGGCAAGCCACAGCCATTATTGTCTGATAAGAGAGTATGTATGGAAGTTGGTCTTTGCTGCAGACATAACTAGTCTGGATTTTGAAGAACAATTTGAGAACAAGCTCAGGTCACTGTTAGGGAATCAAATCTAAAGCCAGAAATGTCTGCTATTTTGGCATCCAGGAAACAATTTCACCCTTCCCACTAATTAAGGTGTTGATGTGTAGTGTATCAATGTGTTATTAAATAATAACTGAATAAAATAATTTTAAATAAATAATTAAAAACAACATCCATGGTTTGATTCTTTTTTATTTGAACATCGTGTTTGTTGTCTGCCCCCAAACTGCTGTTTGATAGTTAACGCGGCCCTCGGGCTGAAAAGTTTCGAGACCCCTGATCTATCCCCCAGATTTTCTAGTGAGGTTCTATATCATGAAGGTCATGGCTGAGGACTGGGTCATGACCTCGTTCTAGGTCACATCTAGGAGCGCATCCAACACAGCTTTACAAGTCAATATCATTTTTAATTTCTGCTGCTGATTGGATGTCTCTCTGCCGAGTGGATGTCTCTCTGCTGTGTGGATGTCTCTCTGCTGTGTGGATGTCTCTCTGCTGAGTGGATGTGTGGATGTCTCTCTGCTGAGTGGATGTCTCTCTGCCGAGTGGATGTCTTTCTGCCGTGTGGATGTCTCTCCGCTGAGTGGATGTGTGGATGTCTCTCTGCTGAGTGGATGTGTGGATGTCTCTCTGCTGAGTGGATGTCTCTCTGCTGAGTGGATTCTCTCTGCTGAGTGGATGTCTCTCTGCTGAGTGGATGTCTCTCTGCTGAGTGGATGTCTCTCTGCTGAGTGGATGTCTCTCCGCGGGGTTTTTGAAGCACTTACCTCTTTGCTTCTCTGTTCTATAAAAAGTATCCCTCCCACAACTGAAATTTACCCCCTCACACCACACACACACACATATACACAACCAAAACATACGTTTCAAATGAAGCCCATTTTGGTAGGAACAGCTCATGTTCTGATCTATTTTAGTTTTTGAGTACATCTGATCCACTGTTTGGCCATGCACCGTTACACATTAGAGAACTTGTGTCCGACCTTTGCATCCATCTGATTACTTCCTTCCCACACACTCATGAAATGTAGCGCATTAAGTAGTCATAAGTAATACTGAGCTGGGACCTAGAATGTGCCAAAGCACCTACTTAAGTGGCATTAATTTAATCAACTTGTCAGACCTGCCAGGATAGACATGACTTTTTCATACAATCCTTTAGTGTATCAGCTTATGATTAGCAGCACTGAGATTCAATAATAACTGGAATTAATCATTAACTGATTATTTATTGAACTGGTTTTCTTGATATTTTTTCCCTTCTTAGCATTAAATGTTTAGATACCATCTACTACTGTTTCACCATCTACCACTGTTTTACTATCTGCCATCTACCATCTGTTAACTCACCTCTCCCAGCCAGTTCACTGCCAACCTTTCCAAGCAGATGTTGCAAGTTTTTCATTGTCTTCCATGTGTTACTATGACCTGGTTTCAGTGGGGCTTCTGTCTTGTGATATATATTCATGGCTGTCCCAGATATGTAATTGTACATCACTGACATCTAACTGTCTTTATTTTCTTTATTTCACAGAACAAACAAATTTAGTTAACATGCCCAACACGTTGGAGTTGTCTCTCTTTCAAAAAGAAAAACTGCAATACTACTTCAAGTTTTTAGGTTAGTAAATATAATGATGGTAATTAGTTAATAGAATGATGGTAATTAGTAAATAGAATGATGGTAATTAGTTAATAGAATGATGGTAATTAGTAAATAGAATGATGGTAATTAGTTAATAGAATGATGGTAATTAGTTAATAGAATGATGGTATTTAGTTAATAGAATGATCTTAATTAGTAAATAGAATGATGATAATTAGTAAATAGAATTATGGTGATTAGTTAATAGAATGATGGTAATTAGTAAATAGAATGATGGTAATTAGTTAATAGAATGATGGTAATTAGTAAATAGAATTATGGTGATTAGTAAATATAATGATGGTAATTAGTTAATAGAATGATGGTAATTAGTTAATAGAATGATGGTAGTTAGTAAATAGAATTATGGTGATTAGTAAATAGAATGATGGTAATCAGTAAATAGAATTATGGTGATTAGTAAATAGAATGATGGTAACTAGTTAATAGAATGATGGTAATTAGTTAATAGAATGATGGTAATTAGTAAATAGAATTATGGTGATTAGTAAATAGAATGATGGTAATTAGTTAATAGAATGATGGTAATTAGTAAATAGAATGATAGTTAATTAGTCAATAGAATGATGGTAATTAGTTAATAGAATGATGGTAATTAGTTAATAGAATGATGGTAATTAGTTAATATAATGATGGTAATTAGTTAATAGAATGATGGTAATTAGTTAATAGAATGATCTTAATTAGTAAATAGAATGATGATAATTAGTAAATAGAATTATGGTGATTAGTTAATAGAATGATGGTAATTAGTTAATAGAATGATGGTAATTAGTTAATAGAATGATGGTGATTAGTAAATAGAATTATGGTGATTAGTAAATAGAATGATGGTAATTAGTTAATAGAATGATGGTAACTAGTTAATAGAATGATGGTAATTAGTAAATAGAATTATGGTGATTAGTAAATAGAATGATGGTAATTAGTAAATAGAATTATAGTTATTAGTAAATAGAATGATGGTATTAGTTAATAGAATGATGGTAATTAGTCAATAGAATGATGGTAATTAGTTAATAGAATGATGTTAATTAGTTAATAGGATGATGGTAATTAGTAAATAGAATGATGATAATTAGTAAATAGAATTATGGTTATTAGTAAATAGAATGATGGTATTAGTTAATAGAATGATGGTAATTAGTCAATAGAATGATGGTAATTAGTTAATAGAATGATGGTAATTAGTTAATAGAATGATCTTAATTAGTAAATAGAATGATGATAATTAGTAAATAGAATTATGGTGATTATTTAATTGAATGATGGTAATTATTTAATAGAATGATGGTAATTAGTTATTAGAATGATGGTAAGTAGTAAATAGTATTATGGTGATTAGTAAATAGAATGATGGTAATTAGTTAATAGAATGATGGTAATTAGTTAATAGAATGATGGTAATTAGTAAATAGAATTATGGTGATTAGTAAATAAAATGATGGTAATTAGTAAATAGAATTATGGTGATTAGTAAATATAATGATGGTAATTAGTAAATAGAATGATGGTAATTAGTTAATAGAATAATGGTGATTAGTAAATAGAATTATGGTGATTATTAAATAGAATGATGGTGATTAGTAAATAGAATGATGGTAACTAGTTTATTTGTGATTGCTCAATAATAATTTTGACAGAGAATTGGCTTTCATCTAGTTCATTTTTAGAAATGCAGCTGTGAGTTCATAATCTTATGTCCAATTTGAATATGTTTTTCAACAAACGCCTTATAAATTTCATTTTCTTATTGATACAGCTTTAATACATATTGCAAATTTTAGTAAACTTATTATTTTTAACCCCTGAGAAAAGTTAACCTATTTAAGAAAAACTAAACAAATTATACTCAATCAATTGAATCTTTTAAAATGAGGACTAACTTAAACCTATGGTCACAGCCAAGCTGGCGCCTCGTAAAACACTGATGTAGTTCGTACACAGCACAGCTTGTTCCAGCTGTTGTCTACTGATATTTCCTCTGTAATTTATAGAACCAAATCAGGATGGAATGCTTGAAAGCCACAGCCTTGATCGGGTGATGAAGGTAATTTGTTTCCGTTATATTTTAGCCGCTATGTTTCAGTTATTGTGGCTTTGGATGGTAATTTGTTTCTGTTATATTATAGTTTGTTTTGATAATACCGTCAAACAATGCTTTTTTATGGGGGAGTTTTCTGCCATTTTAGGGCTTGAGCAAAAGTATTTGATTCCTGTGATTTTATACAATATATACAATATTATACTTGATTTTATACAATATATACAATATTATACTTGATTTTTATACTTACACATCAAGTGTATCCTCAGAATGATTATAAACTATACTATACCAACCTTGTCCTGTTTTCAAGTTATTAAGAGTTAGTAAATTAATAATAATTGAAAATAATTAATGAATATGAAATTAATGCTGTTTCAAAATAATTTTTTTTTTCAATAGAAAATATTTAAGTTTACTGGTTGGGCAGCTGACAACCTTAGAGCTCTTCAATGTATAGAGATACACCAGGCCTTCTTTGAGATTTTATTTGAAAAATCTGAAGCAGAATGTGGTCACTGTGAGTATGCAAAAAAAAAAAATGATATCTAAGGCAATAAAAAATTTTTAAAAATAACTTTTAAAATTTATTTGAATATATTGTACATAATATTGTAGTTATATTTTTTTTTAAATCTTGAAAAAATTAAAAAATCAAGTTTTGTTTATTTAATAGTGATTATTAAAGTAATAAAAATATTGTTATTTAAAGTTATGTTTAACTTTTCAAAGCACTTGCTTTGTATAAAGTTTTTTTTTAGATGCCACCATGGTAAATAAGAAGTTTAGCAATTCCGAAAATTATCAATAGTTTACATTTAATAATTAGAACCGTTTAACATAATGCTTATTGGAAGTACGCTCAGGTGAAAGTAAATAATGTTTAAAGAGTTTTTTTTCCCTTGAACCAACAGGTGGCACCGCATCACTGGATGACTGGTACGCAATCTGGTCGCACATACTGCCGGGGTGCAAGGGTATGAGCAACTTCCCCGTGTGGCTGAGACTCATGCCCAAAGTTTTGTTTGATATGATTGACAGAAATAGTAAGTGCTCAATGCATCACTTGAACACATTGGTCACATGACTGGTCACATGACTGGTCACATGACTGGTCACATGGTGGTAATCCTAAGTTAATTCTGTCTCTCATGAGAATTTAAAAAAAAAAATTTCACCCTTGAAATTTGAAGTAATAATAAAATGCTACTTTTAAATTATATTTTAGCCGAAGGATTGGAACATTTTTGTTGTTTGAAGGATTGGAACAGTTTTGTTGTTTGAAGGATTGGAATATTTTTGTTGTTTGAAGGATTGGAACATTTTTGTTGTTTGAAGGATTGGAACATTTTTATTGTTTGAAGGATTGGAACATTTTTGTTGTTTGAAGGATTGGAACAGTTTTGTTGTTTGAAGGATTAGAACATTTTTATTGTTTGAAGGATTGGAACATTTTTGTTGTTTGAAGGATTGGAACATTTTTATTGTTTGAAATTGGGGCAGATATTGAGAGGCTGAATTAATTTTTTGTTGTCAATTAAATTAAATAGATGGCTGTTTATACCTACTCTGTTTTGTATCATGTGACCTACTCTGTTTTGTATCATGTGACCTACTCTGTTTTGTATCATGTGACCTACTCTGTTTTGTATCATGTGACCTACTCTGTTTTGTATCATGTGACCTACTCTGTTTTGTATCATGTGACCTACTCTGTTTTGTATCATGTGACCTACTCTGTTTTGTATCATGTGACCTACTCTGTTTTGTATCATGTGACCTACTCTGTTTTGTATCATGTGACCTACTATGTTTTGTATCATGTGACCTACTCTGTTTTGTATCATGTGACCTACTCTGTTTTGTATCATGTGACCTACTCTGTTTTGTATTATGTGACCTATTCTGTTTTGTATCATGTGACCTACTCTGTTTTGTATCATGTGACCTACTCTGTTTTGTACCATGTGACATACTCTAATTTGTACCATGTGACCTACTCTAATTTGTATCATGTGACCTACTCTAATTTGTACCATGTGACCTACTCTGTTTTGTATCATGTGACCTATGCTGATTCGTACCATGGGATCTACTCTGATTTGTACCATTGGGATCTACTCTGATTTGTACCATGAAACCTACTCTGATTTGTACCATGGAACCTACTCTTATTTGTACCATGTGACCTACTCTAATTTGTACCATGTGACCTACTCTGATTTGTACCATGTGATCTACTCTGATTTGTATCATGTGACCTACTCTGTTTTGTACCATGTGACCTACTCTAATTTGTACCATGTGACCTACTCTAATTTGTACCATGTGACCTACGCTGATTTGTACCATGGGACCTACTCTGATTTGCAACAGTTTTACAAAGTTTAATTCACAGTTTGAGAGATCTTTCCATGTTAACTAAATATGGTAGCATGTGTAACACAGAGCTCATTGGTGAAACAGTTTCCTAGCATGGGTAACACAGAGCTCATTGGTGAAACAGTTTCCCAGCATGGGTAACGCAGAGCTCATTGGTGAAACAGTTTCCTAGCATGGGTAACACAGAGCTCATTGTTGAAACAGTTTCCTAGCATGGGTAACACAGAGCTCATTGGTGAAACAGTTTCCTAGCATGGGTAACACAGAGCTCATTGGTGAAACAGTTTCCTAGCATGGGTAACACAGAGCTCATTGGTGAAACAGTTTCCTAGCATGGGTAACACAGAGCTCATTGTTGAAACAGTTTCCTAGCATGGGTAACACAGAGCTCATTGGTGAAACAGTTTCCTTACTGAGTTCATATAAAGTTCAAAAATAGTTCATACTACAATTACACTTTTATTTCCTTACAGCGGACGATGTCCTCACACCCGATGAGCTATTCCAGTTTTATAAAGATATGGTTGACCTTCAAGTTGACCTCAAAGACCTTGAAAAATCAACACACATGGCTTACAGCAAGATGACTGATGTAAGAGTTTCATGGCATATTTGCTTTTTCTGGTGCTTGTGAAAATATATTGTTAACGGCTGGGAAAATCAGTTTCCAAATTTAAAAAATGTATTTCTTAAACTGATCAGAGAAACTTTCATCATCCCAGATGTTTTGTTTGTTGGATCTTTTCTTTACAATTTTGCTCAAAGCGATTGCCAACGACCTTGACATTAAAAACTGTGAGCCAATGAAATTCTGTTAAGGAAATTAACCTCATTTTTAGTGGCTTTTTATTTTCTTATAACAGAATGGTCGCTACCCTTTGAACCTAGACAGCTACGAGCAGATCTTCGCCAACTTCCTGTTGGGCAGGACACCCCACGGGCCTGGCAAGTACATCTTTGGCTGCTTCAAACACGACTACGGCTCCTACCAGCTCATCCAGCCGGCTGCTGATGATGACGACGCGTCGGCTAGTGGGTTGTATCCCAAGGACAAGAGGCCAAAGAAATTTGGCGTCGCATTCACTTAAGGAAGGTGGAGTTTATTTCTAGTTAGAGACATTTATAATTGTTATGTTGCTGTTGTGTAACTCTTTGCTTGTACAGTGACCTTGGCAGGTCAGGATCAATGCTGGGGACCTTTCTAAAGAATCGCTCTGATCTTTCAAACTCATCACTGGGACCTTTCTAACTCATCACTGGGACCCTTCTAACTAATCTCTGACCTTTCTAATTCATCACTGGGACCTTTCTAACTCATCACTGGGATCTTTCTAACTCATCACTGGGACCTTTCTAACTAATCTCTCTGACCTTTCTAAATAATCTCTCTGAACTTTCTAACTAATAGCTGGCACTTTTCTTACTAATCTCTCTGACTTTTTTAACTAATCGCTGGGGCCTTCCATCTGGGCCCCTTCTAACTAATCACTGGGGCCTTCCATCTGGGCCCCTTCTAACTAATCGCTGGGGCCTTCTATCTGGGCCCCTTCTAACTAATTGCTCTGACCTTTCAGGATTTTTATTTTGCCTGTTTAATGTACAGTGGGCCAACAATGGAGTTTCTGCTGATTATATTTTGAAGCAAACAAAAATATTTTGCATTTCATCTTTTAGTTCACTGCTGTTCCTTTGTTATGATTGGCTCTTTTAGAAATCACCAAACGTCTGCTTTTGTCTTCCAAAGTCGACCGTGTCAATTTATCCTCCCAAGGCTTTCAGCTGAAATGTTCTCTGTATTGGATGAAGCTTCTCCGTGACCTGATGCAGAAAAGGTTTAATAATGTATGAGCAAAGAGTTGAGGTGATAATACAAACATATAATTCAATTGATATTAAGTGTTACATTTGTAAATGACAGTATTTAGATTTAATTCATGTAAATAATGTACCCGGTACCATGCTTGTATGTCGTCCATGTACCATGCTTGTATGTCGTACATGAACCATGCTTGTATGTTGTACATGTACCATGCTTATATGTCGTACATGTACCATGCTTGTATGTCGTACATGTACCATGCTTGTATGTCGTACATGTACCATGGTTGTATGGTATCCATGTACCATGCTTGTATGTCGTACATGTACCATGCTTGTATGTCGTACATGTACCATGCTTGTATGTCGTACATGTACCATGCTTGTATGGTATCCATGTACCATGCTTGTATGTCGTACATGTACCATGCTTGTATGGTATCCATGTACCATGCTTGTATGTCGTACATGTACCATGCTTGTATGTTGAACATGTACCATGCTTGTATGTCGTACATGTACCATGCTTGTATGTTGTACATGTACCATGCTTGTATGTCGTCCATGTACCATGCTTGTATGGTATCCATGTACCATGCTTGTATGTCGTACATGTACCATGCTTGTATGTTATCCATGTACCATGCTTGTATGTCGTACATGTACCATGCTTGTATGTTGTACATGTACCATGCTTGTATGTCGTACATGTACCATGCTTGTATGTTGTACATGTACCATGCTTGTATGTCATACATGTACCACGTTTAGTTTGCAGAGTAGGTAAAAAGTGTACTTATTATACTCAAGAATTCCTGTATTTCTTTTTGTCAGTATTATTCTAACTGGAAATTTTCTTTGAATCTTGAATATCATAAGTTGGTTATTTGATTAAACAAAAAAAATGTCTGTCTCAAAAATTAAAATGTTGATTTTCAAATGAGGACAAGAATATCAATAGACTGAGATCTCCAGCGTGGCAGGGAAACTGAACAGTTTCTTGCATCTCTTTTTTGATGGTGCAACATCAGCATTTCTAGTGTGTGGCCGCTGATGCAGATTCAAATAATCCAATGCACAAATAAATTTAGGTATGTCTATTGCTACGTGACATCAAGTGATTGCATTTGGTCCATGTGCCTCGCATAGGGCACATCAAGTGATTGCATTTGGTCCGTGTGCCTCCCATAGGGCACATCAAGTGATTGCATTTGGTCATGTGCCTCACATAGGGCACATCAAGTGATTGCATTTGGTCATGTGCCTCGCATAGGGCACATCAAGTGATTGCATTTGGTCATGTGCCTGGCATAGGGCACATCAAGTGATTGCATTTGGTCATGTGCCTCACATAGCACATCAAGTGATTGCATTTGGTCCATGTGCCTCCCATAGGGCACATCAAGTGATTGCATTTGGTCATGTGCCTCGCATAGGGCACATCAAGTGATTGCATTTGGTCATGTGCCTCACATAGGGCACATCAAGTGATTGCATTTGGTCATGTGCCTCGCATAGGGCACATCACGTTTTTGTTAATGCTTGTTTGGTGTCTTATTTTTTAGCAGGAAGTGGCTGTATTTTTATCCTGAATAGTTTGAATAAATTATTTATCTACAGATACTACTTACTGCCATGAAATTGGATGAATATAAATAGATCAATATCTAGAATCTTGGTATGAAATAAAGTACAGTGCAATGGTGGTTCAATGGTGGTTCAATGGTGGTTCAATGGTGGTTCAATGGTGGTTCAATGGTGGTTCAATGGTGGTTCAATGGTGGTTCAATGGTGGTTCAATGGTGGTTCAGTAGTGTGCTAAATAATATTCCTGAGAACTGTGCTAAATGATATTCTTAAGAATACTGCAAGTGCGTTTGGTTTGGTGCGTAGTATTTCCTTTTTTTTTGTATGGATATAGTCTCATTTCAAATATGATGTAATACATCTGCAGTGTAAAAGGGGGTGGGGCATTAGAATATTAATATAGTTCAGGGTGTGAAAAGAGTGTTTGCTTGCGAACCTAAAGGGGGGTCAGCCATGTGTGGGATTCTGATTACCTGCGCTACTTGGATGAATATTTTTTCCGGAAGTTCATGCATTGCAGCCACTATTTTTATGTGGAATATAACAAATAAATAAATAACAGAATGCTTAGCCAACTGTAGAACTTGTAACTATTCAAACATTCATTTTCGACTAACCCTTAATGAGATAGTAAATTAATTTAAAAAAGTAAGAAAATAATTAAAACATTTTCGTTTTAGTGATATGTAGCATTATGTCTAAAAACTGATGTAGATTTTAGTTTAAAGTAATGTAATGGTAAAAAGAAATCATTAAGTGGTTTCTAAAAAAAGCCATCAAGATCTTGTTTAGCCCAGAATGTTGATACAAAAAATGTGAAAAATATCTGTTTGTCTCTTGTGTGATGCTTAACATTGCCTTTGTTTGTGATATGAACTTAGCCTTTATTAATTAACCCAGCCTTTCTGATGCATACTTATCCTTTTGAAACCTAGCCTTTGTTAACCTAACCCATGTTTATAAAACATGCCTTCGTTTGTGATACTGCCCCAGCCAATATTTGTAATACTTGTGATCTTGTTACATTTTTTCCTCCACAAGAATATTTTCTTCGCTGCTTCATTCACTCTTTGAGTTTTGTAGTAACTGAATGATATTGTTTGGGTGTAAATGTAAGGGCCTCAGAGAATAGTTTTCTTTTAGTTTGATTAATTTCTTTACCATGATTTTCTCTTGTCTTTTTTTAAATTTTAATTGGGTGATTTTTTTAAAACCTGGTCCAAGGTAACTGGAACTTATTAGAGATTTATTTGTTAAGTTTGCAGTGTTAACTGCATATTTTTTAACTGCGTGAACTGATTTATTCTTCTCAAGAAAAACTTGACCTTACTTTTTTTTTTTTAAAGTCTCAAATATTGATTCCAAAATGCTGTCACACAAAATGCTGTCACACAAAATGCTGTCACACAAAATGCTGTCACACAAAATGCTGTCACACAAAATGCTGTCACACAAAATGTTGTCACACAAAACGCTGTCACACAAAATGCTGTCACACAAAATGCTGTCACGCAATAGTTTAAAAAACAAATAATTAACCCCAAATGTGAAATGTTTCTTTCACCATTAAAATAATGGCTGTCATGAAATGGAAGATTTATTAAGAAGACAAGAGTATTTTAAGACCAGGATTAGCGGGTCTCAATCTCTGTCATATATTTCATTGTTTTATTTTTGTGCTGGTTTAAAAAAAAATTTTTTTATAGAAATCTTGTGTCTCGATGATTTTATTCTGTGATTGAATTTAATTGATAATTGATGTCACTGATTTGGGAGTTGTACAAAGGGTAGACAATCTCTTAATTATGAATAATTGATCTACTGAATGTTTTTTTTGATTATTGATTTTATTAACTCTTCTCCTCTGTAATTAGTTAAGCACTATCAGGAAATCTTTTAAGGGACTTAATTTTGTTAGTAAATGACACTAGTAAAATAAAATATAAATTCAAGAGAAATAATTTTTCTTATCCAAACAATTAGATCTATCGCAGTTTATGAAACAGAAACAAAATCTAGAGAAATAAAACCTAGTGTTTTCAAATATGTTTCTCATGAGATTAATTTAAACTGACTTTCACAGAAAGAATTGTGATAATTTCATTTGTTATTATTTTATAAACATTGATGTAGCTGAAAAAGCAGCCAAAAAGTTATAAAGCCTTTTTAAAAAAAGCAGAATGTATAATAAGCTTTAAAAAGTTAGTATATTTAAAAGATCATAATTATTTAAAAAGTTAGTATATTTAAAAGATCATAATTATTTAAAAAGTTAGTATATTTAAAAGATCATAATTATTTAAAAAGTTAGTATATTTAAAAGATCATAATTATTTAAAAAGTTAGTATATTTAAAAGATCATAATTATTTAAAAAGTTAGTATATTTAAAAGATCATAATTATTTAAAAAGTTAGTATATTTAAAAGATCATAATTATTTAAAAAGTTAGTATATTTAAAAGATCATAATTATTTAAAAAGTTAGTATATTTAAAAGATCATAATTATTTAAAAAGTTAGTATATTTAAAAGATCATAATTATTTAAAAAGTTAGTATATTTAAAAGATCATAATTATTTAAAAAGTTAGTATATTTAAAAGATCATAATTATTTAAAAAGTTAGTATATTTAAAAGATCATAATTATTTAAAAAGTTAGTATATTTAAAAGATCATAATTATTTAAAAAGCAGAATCTTTCCTAACAAACCAGAAACTAAAAGACTCCAAGAAGACTGGATTTTAAAAAAAAAAAGCAAATCTTTCTCCTACTAATTTATCAATGGGGCAAAATAAAATTTTCCTCCAACAAATTAAACATGAGTCTATTTTTATTTTCCAGAAATAAAAAAGGTATACAAAAAATAAGTTTTTTTTTTTTTTTTTCATTTGAGCAAATTTAACATATGTTTAATACATTGTCAAAAGAGCAAAGCATATTCCCCAGAAAGCTAAATTGATCTAATTTTACACTGGCAAAGAGTTAACATATATCGATGTGGCGCTGAATAACCTTTTTGACCATGTGTAGTCCTTCAATTATTATCTTGTAGATTGTAAAGAATGTAATATGCTACTTTGCCAGCCAGAGTAGCACATGAGGGTTACCGTGGCATTCTCTGTAACATAGATATGCATGAAACAATGATTTTATAAACCAGATATTTTAATAATTTCAGTGATATGGATTTTAACTGTTATAAAATCATCTCCCCCCACCATAATGCAACAATTTGTTGATGCTGTTAATCATATTTAATGCTACCATTTCTTCTTCCCTGTTTTTTCTTGATCTATTAACTGGTAATTTTTTATACGAATGTAATGATTTGTCTTTTTGTGGCGTGTGCTTCATCCGCCCACAGCCATGAAATAAGGGCTGTGCGGTTTAAGGTTATGGCGTATTAGACCTTGTATTTCACGTGGTAATATCTGAACAGCTGATTTTTTTGTTGTTTTACTTAACAGCTTCAATTAAATTCAAAATCTGCACTTGTTATTTTAAACAAATATTGTGTTGGAAAATTATTTTTTGTCAAAGCTTATAAAAAATAAAATTTTCACCATTATTTTTTTAATATTTTTTTTATTAATGTGTATCTGATTTGGTTTTTCTAAAAGGTTGAAACTGAGCTCTGTGTAAGTGTATGTTTTACAATTTTAAATTTTACCGCTGAAAGAGCTCATCTCATTGTTTAAGACATGCAGACAAAGAGGCGGACCAATTGGCTTTTAATGGTATTCAGATTGAAGTGCTATAAAAACCAATAACGAAAGTGGAGGTAAAAGGGGATGGAGTTGGAGGATCTTATGTTGATGATCTCAA